GCTTACCTGTAAGTGCATGTGGCTTTGGGGGAACATGTACATATAATCAGTAATAGGGAGTATTATAATTTTTTCCTATTCTTTGAAAAAATTTGTGTCAAATTTCTCTTTCTAATGTTGATAGAATTTATGGATAGACATCTCATCTGGAATTTTCTTTATTAAGGAAGTTTTTTAGCTAGTTATCAGACAGACATTTTTATTTTTTGTATTCTTAATAATTTTTCCTTAGGAATTTATCTTATTTCATCTAAAATGTCAAATATAATTGGCTTAAAGTTGTTCATAATATTCCCTTACAATCTATCTTTTTACTTTGAAATAACAGGCTTAAGGGACATTTAAAAGAGTAGAGCAGATAACTTTTCCTAAGTCACCCAAGAGCAAGGTTGATCATGATGTCCCACTACCATATGCCCCTGTGTCATCTCTTTTGAGTTAATTTTTAAATATGATCTCAGGTATGGATCCCAGTCTGTCTGTCTTTCTGTCTTTCTTACTTTCTTTCTGTGTATTTGTATTGATCAGTGCTTATAAGAGCTTGCAAGGCTGGGGTTAAGGCTCCTCAAAAGACTGCACATGCTCTGAATCAGATTTAATGCAGGACAGAAATTTACAAGATTGTCCTACAGTGGCTGTTCACAGAGTCAAATGCAGAAGAGAGCAAAAGATCTGTCTGTGCCCTAGAGATCTGAAGGAGGCAGCCAAGGGCTTGGAGCCCACAGCAGTGTCCCCTCCGAGTCCACATCAGGAGGCCGAAGGGTCTGAGAGGAGGACCGAAGGCTCAGTGCCTGGAAGGTTGAAGGGTTGGCGCTCACAGCTAAAGAATCTGTGGAAAGCAAACAGTCTATGCCCAAGGCGAAAGGGAGGACTGGAGCTCCTCTGAAGAGAAGAGCAGCCATACTTAGCGAGGGTGAGGAATGGAGCTCCTCCGAAAACAGCCAAAGCTCCTGCAAAGAAAATCAGCTGCAGCCAAGCTCTTCCGAGGAAGTCCTTCCCTCCCATTCTCCTCTTTGTACATTTCCGACATCAATCCTCCCTAAAGTGGGTCTTCCACACCCAGAACCGTGCATACTCAAGATTCAGTGCAAGTTGACAGTAAACCACCACGTTATTAAATTATCTTTGCACCAGTTTTTAGAAGACTGTCCTTTTTCTAAATATCTTGAAATCTCTTGTAAAAACCAGTTGTCCATATATGCATACCTTTATTTCTAGACCCTATTCTATCTGATCTATTTGGCTATTTTTATGCTAGTATCACACTGTTTTATCACAGCTCTGTAATAAGTCTGAAAATCAAGGGAGTGTTAGCTTTTCATCTTGTCATTTTTCATAGTTGTTTGTGTTCTTTAAAGTCCTTTGCATTTTTGTATGGATTAGCTTGTCAGTTTGTATACATAGACATATATAGGCATTCACATAGTCTGCTGGGGTTTTTGAAATTTAGTTCATTCAACCGATCAATTTGGAGAGAACTGACAATAATATTGAGTCTTCCAACCCCATGAAACAAGATATGTCTGTGTTTTTAAACATTTGATTTGTTGCAGCCATGTATTTAGTTTGGTGTGTATAGATTTTTTTTTCTTTTTTTTTTGCTATGTAGTCAAGGCTGACTTTGCTCCTAACCCTATCTCAGCCTCCCAAGTGCTGGTACTACAGGCATGTATACAGATTTATATGTTTTGTGTGTATGAAGTTGCGGAGTGCTTCATATTTTGATGCTATTATAAGTGGAATTTTTCACAGTTTAATGTCATTTTAATTTCATTTCACATTTTAATTTCATTGAATTGTTTATTGTTAGTATATAGAAGTGGAACTGATTTTATATATATTGATCTTGTGTTTATCAACCTTATTAAACTCATTTATTTTAGTTGCTTTTGTATATATGGATTGCATCTAAATATTGCATCTGAAATATTTGACTAGAAGTGTCTAAAGTTCTAAGACACTTGTATCAGATCTCTCTCTTTATCAAACATACATATATTTGGCCTAGATTAGCCCTACTATCAAGGCATAGCTTTTCTGTTTCTGTTAATAATATTGTTTCAGCAAAGTTTCTTCATTCTGCATGATTGAAATTTGAACATCTCCCACCTTTAGAAGAGCTTTGGTAGAAGGTATTTAATTATGTACAGACTCACTTTATGTATGTGCAGTTTAGAATTAGGTCTCAGGGAACCCCTATAAACATCCGTTTCTGTGTAACTTTCTCCAGATCTGTCTGTGTCTGCCCCCCAAATTCTGATCTCTGTTCAATCGGATCATTTTGCTTTGTTTAGAATTTCCCTCTCTGCCCCACAGGTGAGAAAACAATTACCTTCTTTGTTTCCCTTTTCTCAGTCCTTGCTCCCTCTTGTCTGGTGTCTAAAAGTGCTTGTTCATTGTATTTTGCAGTTTTAACAGCTACTTATGGTGGCTGGACTTCTCCAGTGATACTTACTGTGTTGTAGCTGTGTATTGTTTCTGACTCCGTCATACTGTGTTTATCTCCATAGTTCAGTTGAGTACCAGTGATTATGTTTTAAGTTCACTGGAAGAATCAGTAAATTTTAAGCAAATACTGATTTGTAACATGAACTTGTAAATATTAATTTTATGAGAATGTCTTTAAAATTAATTTCAAATGAATGCTGTCACACTGATATTAATTCACTAAACAAAGCATAATTATCCAGCTCCTATAACATTTGTGTCAGACCTATCTTCTTTTACCAAATATACTTCTTTTGGCTAGTTACTGGATATTCTTGCTGTGGAAATTTTGTCCTGCATTTCTTTTTAACTCCTTTGCGGTAGAGACATTACTCTTATAGACAGTTATTATTTGGATTGGACTAATATCACATTGTAGCTATAGCTAGTAGGCTTCTCTATATACTCAGATATCACAAGCTCAGCTTCTGTTATAAAATAAGTTGCTACCTAGGCTTGCTGTCTGGCAATTCAAACATCAGATGAATGATGGTGTAGGTGACTTTTAAATGCCCTTCAACTTTGAGGTTCTATTATTTAGCAAATTAAATTTCAGCAAGAGTGTTTTGAATGCCATCCTAATAGTTTGCATTATCTAAGAAGAAAAACTGCTTTTGCCTTTGAGAAGCTCAGAATTTCAATAGTGAGATGCCTTTAAATATTAAGAAAATATTATATATGATTAACTTAAATGCTTGAAATGTGATGTCCAAAAGAGCTTGCAGAAGTAGAATGAGAAAGAACACATCATTTTCTGTGGGGGCCTCTCAGTGAAAGAGAGTCACTAAAGGAGAGCAAAGGACTGCACATTTGCAGGATTGTCAATAAGGAGAGGAGCCTAGTAGAAGAAAGCTGTTTAATTTTGTTTTAAAAATAATGTGGCCAAGTTATGAACTACTGAAATTTTGTCAATGACATTTTTTTCAGAAAGTGGAAGCATTGGTCATCTAGATTTAAAAAATCTCAAATTTGCATAGCTCAGGGGCCACCTAGTGTGTTATGGTTGCAGTAGAGTAAAAAAATTTCATGGAAAAAAAATCTTCATCCATATAATGATACACATCTGTTTGGAAAACAGTATGAACAAACTTCCATTGATCTCTGTGATTTGGGAGATGCCGAAGAAATTCTTTTGAGTTCTGTAGCTTTTCACTGGGCCTAGTAGATTGTAGTCTTTTGTTTGTGTTTGGCTTATAAGAATTAAGGTCACATTAAGATTAAAACTGCCTTGCTATTTTGATACTGAAATCTGGACCCAGTATGTCTTATGTCCTTTCAATTCCTATGGTAGTGTTAGAACAGTAATTCAAAACACAGCAATTAATTTTTGTTTAATATTGTTCAAGTAAAAACAAATATACACATACTAGAAAAAAAGTACTGCCAAATCATAAAGGTGATGTTATTTCTTTACATTGACTGTGGCCTAGACAAGTTATAGACTGTTTCTAAGATTTAGTTTATTATTAAATATGAAATGTGGATAAAGACTCATCTGTAGGTATGAAAATCCCAAATACTGAATTTGTACGTCATAGTTTTGTTTTTAAAGTTATGGATACTGAATCTTTTTTTGAAAGAGTACCAAACATGTTGAAAACATGACTAACAGATATTAAAAGCTTTATGTATTTATATTTATTCAAATTTTCTAAAATTATTGTTTAAAAATGCTTGTATATATTCTTTTTCCACAATGCCTTATTTTTGAGTCTGACTGAGAACGTTCATTTAAAGAAGAGCAGCATAGGGCTGGGGATTTGGCTCAGTGATTCTGCCGCCTGCTTCAGAAGCGCAAGGTCCCAAGTTCGATCCCTGGTACAAAAAAAAAAAATCAGAGAAGGGATAGGGGAGACAGAAAAGTATAACTTGGGTAAAGTAGAATGTGAGTGCATGAAATTTATGCCATAGGCTGGGGATTTAGCTTAGTGGTTCTGCCACCTGCCTTGCAAACACAAGGTCCGGAGTTTGATCCCAGGTACAAAAAAAAAACAAATTTATGCCATAACAGAATAGTTTTGAAATCTATCAGGTAAAACATAAGTGTGGATAATGGTTAATCTTCAGTATCATTATAAATTATTTATAATATTTCATGCCTTATAGAAACTGAGAAAATAACTTATGGAGATTATTTTTCTGCTTCGTTTCTGGTCACCCTGTTTCTATTCACTGCAGGACCATATCTTTAGCTAATGTGGCATTTTCTTCAGGTCTTCTAAAGGCCATGGAACCCACTAACTGGATATATGATGATTAGATCATTTTTATTGGAGGAAAATTGAAGCAAAGGAAATTTAGTCCTAATAAATGATGATATAAGATTTTCTTTCTCTTAGATAATTAGTGTAATTTATTCGTCTCAACAAGGTAGAATTTGGCCTGCAGGGCATACACTGTAATGTATGCTTTATTGGAAAAAAATTTTAATGAATGTTCAGAGCTTTGGTGTTGTAAAAAATAACGTGTATTTCTATGGTTGTTTTACTGCGTTTTCTTGTTCACTTTGGTAGATAAAATAACACAAGAGGATATTGAAGGCATTCTACAGAAATTTACTGGGAATATAATGCAAGTACCCCCCCTGTAAGTTCAAATATTTATTTGAGTAAATGTTTAGTTTATTTTCTACTGGTTAACATCACCATAATTAAAATAAATGGACATTCTTTTTTTTGCTATATGTTGAAGAGGGTTTTAAATCCGACAGAGTAAATGATCAAGTGAAAATGAGCCTGATTTAGACTGGATGTGAATGTAGTAAGAGGTAATGCAGTCTTCTCTGCCCCTGGGTTTTACAATGGCTAGTATTTGTGCTGCTCAGTTTTTTTTTTTTTTTTT